GGGGGAGTGCAACAGAAGGAGTCGGCCCGTCGAAACGACTAAATTAATCCGGATTTATTTTTCGCGACGATGGTGAATGGATTTTGGCAAATAAAACCTTGTCTTGTCGTCAAATTTGCATAATAAAACATCGAACTCGTATTAGCGATTAATTAGAGAGACGGCTAATTCTCCCGTTGCTGCGTTCATAATTAGCGCGAACGAGATCTTTACTGCCACCGGGCAATTGTTGGACGCAGGTGTTTGATTTTCGCGCGAAACGCCCAAATACTATTTGCAATTCGGGAAATTAACTTGCGTGTATCTACTGATCAGATCAAAAAAAAAAAAAGTTTCTGCTTTTTAGGTCTTAGGTTAGGGTTATTGATAATTAGCAATTCCACACTTATTTTTTAATTATGGATATGACTCCATCTTGGCCTAATAATATCTCATACTCGATTAGGAATAGATCTAATCAAGTTCGCTATTGCTTCTTGTGGAAGGTTAAGCCACTCTTAAGAAAAAAAAAAGAAATTCTTCTCCATTTATCGAATTATGTGAAAATTCCAGTTCCAAAGGCGATTAATTTGAGTCCATAGCAAGTATGTGACCATCACCACTACTACTGCATGAACACGTTTCATTGGTTTAACCTATACGCACATAAAAGATCAGCACTGTTAAAAAATTTAAACTTGTACTAAAGAATATCAAAATTGTCTTCCCAATTAGCATGTTTGTTTTTTGGGCCAGTAAAATACACCAAAGTCAAAAATTTAGTGCTCCGATTTTTATGCATGCAAGTTTAGTTTGAGTTTCTACACGCACGGGGGCGCTAGAATACGCACAACTTAATGATGATTAGACATTAATCAATTTTACCTCCGTTTGTTTTTATCCATGAATTTACCGACCCCATCAAAATTTGAGTAAATTTCAATGTGAACTAACCAAAACCGATATTGCGAAAAGTAGTGCACGTTCCTTGATCATATTAGATGGCCTTCAAATATTTGCAGCGTACAGGGCAGTGTTAAATTTCCCTTATTTCAAAAACTGACCAAACGTTATTAGGAAAAGTTGCTTAGAATTGAAAGTTATGCACTGAACAACGGCTACAATCCGTCCATTATAGATAAAATTATAAATAAACAACAGTAAACCCTATTTATCCAAAACCTAATACAGAACACGAACAATGTAAAACAATTACAGTGAAAAAGTTTCAAAACATTTGTCAAAATGTGGCTTTCAGAACTAACAACGGAATAGGAAAATTTTTAAAAAACAATAAAACGAAGCGCTCAAAATCTCAAAAATCAAGTGTGTACAGGTTGAAATGCGGATCTCGTCCTAAAATTTATATTGGACAAACAGGTAGATCCTTCAAGAAACGCATCAACGAACGAACACACTTAAACACAGAAAAACACATTTTTGACGACAACTTTGATATTTTGTACAGCCACAAAAAGCAGGAAATTAAATTTATTGGAAGCCATGGAGATTAACATGGAGGTGTCTTTATCACATGTAATATTTACAAACTACCTGCTACTATACATACCGAAAAATGATAATAAAACCTTAATTAATGTTGTTGTGAGAATTTAAGTTTAATAATGGAGAGGCATTTAAATCTATTTGATCGATAAGTCCCATTTTCTTAATTTCCATGGCTTCCGATAAATTTAATTTTCTACTTTTTGTGGCTGTATGTAAAATATCAAAATTGTCGTCAAAAAAGTAAAAGCCACCTCAATTCAATTTTCAAAATAAAATTTGGCTAGTGTCGACGATTTATTGATAAAACCATAGGTGGATATTACTTCATGACATCTGAAAACTGCACTACTCAATGCGGTGACATACTTACTGTTTCCTGAAAGCCAAGTGCAAAACAAAATCCGTATTACTTAGATCGACTGCTTGTTTACGTTCATATATTGTTTGTCAACATTTACGTTCATTCTGACATGGCATTTCTTTCGCAAATTGTTTGTTTGTCCAGCTTTCGTCTAACATTAAATCCTTCTACTTCGCAAGCATAATCGAAAAAAATCAATCAAAAATTTGTACAATAAGGTTGCAAACAAAGCAAATCGTTATGTTTTTTAACTTTTCCGTTTGTTTATTTTTAACTCGTTATAAATCAGAAGCCGATCGGGACAGCTGTAATGTTTTAGTCCGGTTTTAGCTCGGGTCAGGGACGGGAGATTGATTTTGCCACCTGTTCGCAGTTACCAAGACTGGATATACAGGGTGGTCCGTAATGACTGCGCCAAAAATCAATCCCCGATTAAAGTTGTAAAAACGGTGATATATGACTCGGTTAAATGTCGATCGGCATTGAGTAAAATACGAGGTAATGTTACTTCATATTCAAGTTACGGTTGATTTTTATTGATCGAAAGAAAAAATCGCGCAATGTTATTTTAATCGGAATTAAAAATAACTTATAAATTCTGAATAAAAGTTAGCCATATATGGTTGCTGCATTACCTTTCTGGAATAACGTCATTTTTAGTTACTTTTGTGTAGACTGTCAACTGGCCAAACAAATTTTGAAAAAAATCATTATTGCCGTTTCCTTATAATACTCAATGCCGGTTTTGATTAGTTTCAAGTCACGCTTCAAATGGAATTCCTCAACAATTTGATAATGTAAATGAACGAAACAACTTCATATCTCGTCGAACTTCAATGTTACAACAAACATCGCGCCCTGTATAATTTACAATACTGTTCAAATAAGATTATCCCATATTTAACGGTTTTTCATTTATTGCCGATAATTTACTCACAAAAACGGACATTTTTAGGATATTTTAGATTTTTTGCCCATAAACGACACACCCTGTATATGATTCAATCATTGCTCGAAGTAGAGGTTAGAGCCCTGGAGTTTCCAAGTTTCCTGGTTTTTATGAAACCATGCAGTGCGTAGTAATAATCAATGACGTCATCGCGTCTTGACAGTCCCCGAAACAACGACTTCGATATGGATTTTTTCAAATCTCCCGAGCGGCGTATGTGACAGACGAAAACCGCAAATACAAAAATTGGCCGTAATAGTTCTGCCGCTGCAGGTTGACTGGATGGCTATAACCAATCGGTACACACAAAGATCTGGATCTAATTATTAATAGGAGGAATTTGATGTCTTTGTCAAACTTCGCATTTTTCAATCTTCATATAGAAAATTAAAGCGACGGCGTTACCGGTTACTTGAATATTTTCAAAAGGATGTCAATTCAAAGCTGACATTTCAACTTCAAACTCCGCTTGAAATATTTTTTATGTTTTTTGATGACGGATTGAAATGAATTTTCGGTAAACTATGCTCAAGACAATAATCGCCATGAATTCTCGTTGTCAAAAAGTGAACTTTTCAATTTTGTAGGCATTTAATTATCCTCGGGTTATCATTCATTGCCACATATTTAGCATTGTTGGTCTACTGAGAAAGACAGAGGAATTGATCTGATAAAAAAATGTATGAGCCGCAATAGATTCCAATTGATAAAGCAAAACTTGCACTTATCTGACAAAAATCTGTTGGATAAAAATGATAACTTTTCAAAAGTTAGACCCTTCTTTGATGTAATAAATAAAAAAAATCTTCAGTTTGGCATATTTTCGTCCAACTTATCCATAGATGATCAAATGGTACCTTAACTTATGGTAAATGTTTGTAATGTATTGTAACTCAAACGGTTCGAAAGTTATTCAGGAAAAACCAAAAGACGAGAACGGAGAACGGACAAACAAAAAAAATTTGACGGTGATCATTTCTGTACCAACGGCGATCCCATAAAAATCATCGATTTTCAAAATTTACACGACACCTGAAGAAAGTTCTGAAAAAAGTAGTGATAATGATGAGAATAATTATTGCGAAATCAAGAGAAGTCGTCAAGATGCAAGGGATGCAGTAAACGTACTTATTCAATATTTTGAAGAACAGCCTGCAAACGATGACATTCATGTACTTCAGCTTAGAAAAATGAAAGAAATTATAAAATGTAGAAATCAGTGATTTTTTTAAGTGATTTTTGCAACCATAATTTATTGTATACATTTTGCATACACTATATTATATTTTTTGTTACATGTATGTTGTATCTTGTATTACGTTGTATTGTTCTCTTTGGTTGACACATGTATTTATCTAAATAAATTTCAAAAAATAATTAAAAGAAAGGTCTTTGGATTATACGTGTGTTCGATTATCCCGCACAGGCTCGGTCCCGGCCGGCCCGGATAATCGAGGTTCTACTGTATTTGCAATGGTTTTTATTACAACTAAACAAAGGTCTTCGCTTGATTTCTGGCCGGATCGCCAGTACATTTCTAAAAAAAGTATATACCTGCTTTAAAACGCGATCGCACTAAAATCGAACCCTTTTTTCATCTAAACATCGCCACCTGATAACAAAAAATACGAAATTCCTGTCGAAGTATGTAGGTTTTTTTTTCCCGTACGTACGATCGACCGCGCAGAGCATTAACATACGTATCCGATCGCCGTACATTTAGATTAACAATTACGTTCGAATATTATCGCGGCGCACATAGCCGCCCCGAGCTAATAATAATTTTTATTTAACTAATCAACTGCCAAGGACGAATCCACTAATACTTTAAATTAGCAGATAGCGAGTTTTGACGTTAAAAATAGAAAAAAAAAGCTCGGACGTTTTTTCGAAACATCTCTGTGGTCCGCATCAACAGGTGTCGCTGCATTTTGTCTTGGTATTGTTCACGACGATAGGATAAAAGAACAAAAGAACAAGCACTTTGTCGCCGAATGTTTCGTTAGATTTTAACTTGGTCGCTACGTTTTTGTTATTACGCTATCAACGCGATTCTCATTTGTTCATCCATTAGAGTTCGTAAAAATCACCGAAGTGTGGTTATGTTTGAGGAACATTTCGGAAATTTCAACTATTCACAATGCACCGAGTCCGTTCACAAATACCGCCCCGCAAAAAGCTGACAAACACTCGAACACTTACCAACAGGAATTGTCGGGACGGGCCACCTTCGAATTGCCCGACCTCCTCTGCCGCAGGAAATCCTGCAGCTTCTGCTTGACCTCGGTGGACGCCACCGCACTCTCCTCATGCTTCTCCTTTTTCCTGAGCGCTTCCAATTGCTCCCGCTGCCTCAGCTCCTGCAGCTGCTTCTGCCGTTCCCAGAACTCTTTGAGGTGCTGCCTGAGCTGCTGCTCGTGCTGCTCCGCGAGGTGCTGCTGCTGCTGCTGAAAGTGCTGCAGCAGGATCTGGTGCTGCAGCTGGTGTTGCTTCTTGATCTGCAGGATCTGTTGCTCGAGCTCGCGTTCAGGCGTCTCTCCATCCGCCATACCCCTAGTTATTGTCCATGACATCGACGACGACGACGGTAGACACCGCGGGTACGCGCCACCACGCGACGCACACTCACCACCGATCACCAACTATTGACGAAAAACACTACGGTTTGTATTGAAACGCCACCAGAGCGAATGTCAGAATTAATTCGTCAATTGTGTGTGAGGTCATTTCGGTCGCAGTTAGCGCTGGATATTATAGGAACGCGCACGGCGGCGCAATCGCCGCGCTGTTGCCGCTTCTCTGCGTATTGATAAGCCGCGGTCGCGGACTCGCGAGCGCGGGCGGCGTTGCCGCCGTTGCCAACGCGGAAATCCTGCACGCGACTGGAGGGGGATCGCTCACATGCTTAATGTTAAATAATGAAATCGTTTATTATGTTGTATTTAAAAATGGAAAGGCAGTACTTACCTAGTCTTGGTTCAAATCATGGGTTGTCGGTGTGTAAGCTCTATGACAAATGAAAGCCGTTAACCATCCGGAAACCTCCGTTTTACGAGTCGAGTTTCCTTCCGGGGGCTTTTTGATTTACGCGAGGAAATGATTTGTAAATTTAACGTCGCTGACGAAAGCAATTTTATTTCGACACCTCGTAAAAGTGTTTACCGGACTAAACGTTAGACGCGACAACGGCGCACCACCAGCGCCTCCTTCAACGCGAATTTGGTTCGGGAAACGCCGATTCGCGTTTATTTCACTCGCTCTGCGACGGAACGGGTATGCTTGTTTCGTTTTGAACGGGAGCGTTTGCTCGTAGGTCAATGGCGTAACGCGCAGGAGTAGAACGTCCTGCTTTGTTTCCACGTGTCTGGTTGCCACACTTTTTTTTTAAATTGGCCCACAGGTAATACGATTGGGGTAAGACGATTTGGAAAAGCTTAATAAGGTTCAATATACTGAATTCGCCATTATGAAAGTTATTTTTCGACAGTAAATATTTGTTATTGTTAAAGTCAAAAATGCAGTTAATACAGTTAAAAATATAATCAATCACAAATGAAATGTACAAAACAATTAAAACACAGAAGCATTTATTAGAACAAAAGGTTTGAATAATAGAAGGAATAAAAATATCGCATAAAAAGCGAAAAATTTGTATATTATTGATATATATTTTCATTAATAATGACTGAGCTATTATTACAACGAATCACATACAATTAATAGGAAGAAAGGAGGTTTGAACAATGGAAGGAATAAAAATATCGCGTAATTAGCGGAAAATTTGGATATAAATTCATTAATAATTGAATGAGCTATTAAGTTTTTTGAATTCAATCGATAAAAGAATGAGCGACAGATTGTGACGACGGAATATAAAACCAGACTATCATGACGAACTATATTTTTTTGAAAATATTATACAAGAATAAATATTTCCTATTAACAAAGCTTATATAAAAAAGGAAAGGAAAATTAAACGGACAGAAAGGAATATAAATTAACCAGACAAAAAAAAGAAGAAAATATGTAGAAAAAACCTCAAAATAACCAAAATTGAGTATAAATAGAAGGAATAATAATGTTGGCCAATTAAATTGGTTGACGTTTAAATAATCCAAAGCTGGCCTTTCCTGGTCGACCTCTAAATTCCCCAAGTTTATGAAGTCTTCCAGTTCAGTGCGAATTGTGAATTTCGTACATACCACGTAAAGAATGGCGATGTAATTAGCACTCACGAAAGCCCTTCGACGCTCGCGTGTGCTGGGTTAAGTCGTAAGGGCCGTAGGTCGAAAAGGTTTTCAAGGTTTGCCCTGCGATAAGAGCACGTGTATGCCCTCAGAGTCGCGCGTAGTCGAATTGAGTCGTACACGCGGCAACAGGGTGAGGAATGTTAAAATACCAAGGTTGAGACGAAAATAGAAAATCTCCATTATAAATAAATCCGCTTTTTTCGTAACGGTTCACACAAATAGAGTTCCAAGAGGCGGCGAATGGCGAAAGCGATATTAGAGAGGTGCCCCTCTGTTGTTTTTTTGTATCTAAATAAAAATTCCCGACATTATAATTAGTGCTGCAAAAGACCGAAATAAAACGTTTGATTTAGCGGTCTGCCGGCTTCTTTTTTTATTTTTGGACGTCGTATTTAATGTGGCGTTAACTCTAAACCAAATAGCGAAGCGGGATTTAAAATATATGCTATAAGGTTCCACCTCTGCGTGCCAACTGGGAAAAATGACTGCTGATTGGCGGAAATTTGTGGTATTTTTGTGATAAAAGACATCAAAGAAAATTAACAATTTCAAACGCAAGCAGGCTTACCCATAACTTACCTGCCGTACGGAGCAACAGGTGATACCAAATAGCCATGAGATTGTATAGCGACTTTCCTAAATTTCGCACACTACTCAATTTTCTTTCCGGACTGCGATTTTCAGATCTTTAACTCGTCTTCCATTGGAAAAAAAGTCGAATTGAGAAACTGTCAGCGGCCATGTTGGGTGCCGCAAGTGTCCGTTTTATCGTGGTAAAATCGAGACTTGTGTAACTTATTTATTAAGTGCATATCACATATAATATATATGATCATATAAAATTTGTGCAGCTATTAATTATTAGTCGATAAAAAGGGCGTTAAAGTGAAATACAACTCTTAACAAAAGACGGGAGGTAACAATTAACAGCCCTCATAGTAAATTTTGTGTGTTCTGATATTCATTAAATGTGCGTTATTGGCGTAGAAAGAATTACGTATATTCTCTGGTATGACACCAAAGCCGCCTCTGCGCCACCGAGCTCTTCCAGGTTCGAACTAATGCAAGTTTTTCTATTGGAAAACGCCAATGTATACTAATAAAATGTTTTTTATCAACTTGGCAGTTGATACCCTTCCAGAGTCGGTCCTTTATGTTTCATGGTATGAAAATTCGATTATATAAAAACTACTAACTGACAAGAAGCATGGAAAAGTGAACACGTTTCACAATTTCACATTAAAAAGGTCGAAAATTCATTTTTTAGAGGAGCCCGCGTTAGAAGGTATGGAAAAATCTGATTCAAATAAACAAAACCCGCCTTCAACGCATGATTTTCAACTGCCAGTAATACATTCTCTATCAAATTATAACCTATTATCTAGATGGAATGTAAATATAATACTTTTTACAAATATTTTAACTTCAATGAGTGAATTCGACGACCTTGTAAGACGTATCTAACTTAATCAGATATACGATTTCATTTTTTCAAATAGATTGATTTTTTTTTTAATTTACATCCCCTATAGCTATGTTGAATTCAAAATAAAGCAATAACTATCGCAAGTTAAAAACACAAAATTTTGCAAATTGGCTGAAATGAAGAACAGGGTATTTGTAAAATAACATTTTTTTGGTTGGTTGAGAGAGAAATAGGCAGGACATAAATATTTTAGAGGTAATAAAAAGCTCCGTTTATTGCACAAGTATTTAGTAATGAAATATTTTTGGAAAACCAAATAAAATATTGCAAAATTGTTAATATGTTGATATTTTATACCCTTTTATATCCAGGTACTTTAATCATTAGTAAACATTTTAAAACACTGGACTTTCAATCATTGATTAAAAATCAAAGTTAATACGTTACTTCACCTAATCCCTGGCCTGCTAAAGAGGTTTCGCTTTGAGAGAATTGCCTTATCAGGTGTTCCTCAAGGCTCAATACTGGGACCACTATGATTCAACATTTTTATTAATTACATTGGTTGGTGTCTGTTTTGTTAGAAGCTGATTTTTCCAAAATCCGGTGGGAATTATCTCACTTTCCAGCGTAGTGCAATGAAGTGTATTTTATCACTGTGGGTGCAACTGTTAAACGTGACTATCAACTTTTTGAGAGTTGGGAGTAATATTTTTTAACTTGTACCTCCGTTAAAGTATCAGAGTTTGATCTCCTGGGTACAATGGCAATACTAAAAGCCTGGAAAAAATTTAGCGTAGGTTTTTGAATATTAAGGGAGGAGGTCGGTGTTGACTTTAATCTCGATTTAAGTTTTAGGCATTTTTTATTTTTTAGTTTTTCTAATGTTCTCTTAGCCTTGTTAAAACATTTTAGTAAAAAAATGGATGAAAAATTGGACGCCATTACAATTTTTTTGACATTTGAAGATTTCTTACTCTTACCACTTTTTGAAACAAACATTTCATAATATCAGATATCACCAGATAAAAGGCAATTAAAAACGATGAAAATATTTTGCGAGAATTGATTTCAATTAAGACAGGCTCAACTAATTGAAAACTCAACAGTCAAGATAAAAATACTACTCGTTTTGGGACCCGACCCATACTACGAAAATAAATAAATGAACCTTCAAATTGCTTTATTTATTTTAATTACTTTCGCATACACAATCATCACTCTCGTTCATAAATCAACTTAATATACGGAAACTACAAAATTAACGATAAAATAATTGTTTGTGCTTCAATGGGGGTATCTATCAGAAATTTTCAAAATCGAGATGTTAAGCGGAGAAAAATTCAATAAGCGAAAGAAACTAATTAATCTACGACGGATGATTTGTACGCAATACAGATATTTACAGCGACTAGAAACCTTGGCGCTTAGTACATAGGGTGTATTTCCATCGAAGTTCGTATTTGTGGCACATGAGTATTACCTACAATCCGTTGTTTTTATACCGGGTGTCCCGGTAAGAGCAACGAGGTGCGGCGCATTAGGGAAACGGATGCTTTTGAAAAAAAAAAAATATTAAGTACATTGTATTTTCGAGTTTTCTTGGGTTCAGGCCCTTTTTGTTTAAGGCTGCAAGGAAAGTTGTGGGGGTGTTGAAATAATTTTCTAAAAAAAGATATATTTGTTATATCCAGAATTTACCAAATAAAACGCTAATTTAAAATCAACATACAAATTTGTATTTATATTTTACTTTTTTTAAAAAATTAGCCAGTAACCGACGTTACTACGTTTTGATATCCTCGCCCCCGTTTTCAATTAATTTAATATTATCACTTATTTTTTCATTAATAATTAGGTTTAGTCAATTAATTTATTAATTATTGAATTATATAATTAGTAAACTGTAAATTGCATCATTCTTTGTTCCTAAGGCATGATAATTTTAATGAAATAAACATTTAAAAAACTTAAAGAAATTAACCAGTAGGCAAACAAGCGTTAAATATTTTTTAGCATCGTAAACATTAACAAGTGAAAATTTTCACAAAATCCAACTTTTATTCATATTTTTGATTAGGATAAAGATATTAAGATGGGATTTTCATTGAATTGTTGGGCTCCTATTCGACTATCTAAGAAAATAAAAAAATTGCGTGATTAAAATACATTTACCTTGCCTTAAAACCTTAAAAGAGCATTTACTCGCCTTAACTAACTAATAAAATTAGAAAATTTTCCGGAAACCTAGTTTTAAAATTGATGCTCACAATGACGCTCCCTGGAGGCCGTTTGAGAACATCTAAAATAATTTCCAGCACTTATCATTGGTTGATTTACTTAACTTTTTTTTTTCATTTTCCAGGACCGTCTTTTTCTAATGTCGTAACTCGCTGCCCTTACTGGGAGAAACGGTATACAAAAAAAAAACGCAACGGTTTAACACAACTAAAAAATAGAGAGCTTATCGCGAAATGAAAATACACTCTAAATGTTTAAACAAAAAAAAAACATATTAAACGTAGACAATTCTAGATAGCTATTAATAGAGAGAATATCCTCGATATGTAATATGCAGGCATAACAATTCGCCTAGTCACAAACAAGAGTATCAAAATACTAAAATAAAACGATTGAGAAAAATGACCATTACGTTTCCATTGCACTTATATTATTTTGTCTTCAATGCTTAATGAACTAATGTGTTGAAATTATACTTCCTCCGACTTACATATACATTATCGTTAATTCTATTCTGAAGAATTCAATTTATCTGAAAAACTTTGGCACCTTATTATACAAAATGCGAACTTTGTACGAACACCAAAAATTGAAGACTCTAATAAACAAATCCAATAGAATAGCCCTTGCAGCAGCAATTTTACGAACTCAATATTGAAAACAACTACTTAGATTCACTGCTTATAAACCTAGAGACTCCTAATAACTAAATTACGAAAAACTACCAGTCATGAAAATTATACACCCTTCTCTGTCGAGGGAAAGCTTACTACTTAAATCATCAAAGAACTGGCTGCCACGCAAAAAATAGGCAAAATATATAGATATATAATATATATACATCATAAACTTAATCCGTACTGAGATAAACTGCCCCGACACACTTAAACTTGCCAACTTGTGGGGCTACGTTCTATATTGACAAAAAAACAAAATTACTGTAAATAAAGAAAAGGAAAACAAAACGTGATGTAAAACGTGGTGTAGAATTCAACGCGACAACTGTCATGGTTGGAAAGAAAAATGAATAAAAATAAACCTTACGTGGAAAACAAAAGAAAGGCGTGGCCGAAAATAAACGTCAAATAAAATAAGGTTATAAACGCAGGTGATGTCTGCCAAGTGCGCGCGCGTCTACATATACATATATTATAAGTGAATGGAAACAGACTATGCGGATTTTGTATAATAGATAAACCTAAGACCTAAATAAGAGAGCTGGGTTAAATGGGCTATCACAAGGACTTACTTTAGTGAGTTACAGCTCTTTGGCTCCTGTCATAGTTTTGTTTTTTTTTTTTGTTAATATTCAATATATTGTTGTGCTTCTTTGTGCTACATACAAGACAAAGATCGTTTTTGTTTTGAGTATTGTTTTACGATCGGAACTAGGCCGTAGGGAGCCGTCGATATGTTCAATAGGGGGCGAATCGGTTGTACCCACTACGATAAACAGCTGCCTGCAAAAAAAAAATAATTAATTGATAATTTATGATAATCTTGGCGATAATAAGTACATACAAACATAGAAATAGGTTTTAACTCAGCTGAAGTTGTGTAAATAGCTTTAGAAATGTTTTTTACAGTTGTATTTCAGTTCTTACCTGTATTATTTTAAATATTTGGTACCTATTATAATTAAATATTTTCAGTAAGTGAATATAAACGTAATTGGTGGTCTAATATTATATTAATTAATTAATTTAATGTTAACCAGTTTATGTTGAATTATACATGACAAATTGAAATCAAAAATATATCTGTAATAGGAAATACTAACTAGACAGCAATTAACATTTCAAATACTTTTTGAAAAACGTCTGCATTCGTCCTGCGTCGGTTTTTGTTTACTCCGACTTGCTAACGTTTCGCCAGTCATCCTGTTTTCATCTTCAGAGCTCAACTGAAACGTGAGCAAGTTCGACTCAGCAACGCGGGAGGAATGCAGAAGTTTTGTAACGAGTTTAGGCAGCAATTATCTAAGCTCTGAAGAAGCCGACAGGATGATTGGCGAAACGTCGGCAAAAACCGTCGCAGGAGGAATAGAGAAGTTTTATAAAAAGTTTTTACATTTCGTTGTTTGTTAAATTAATTGATGTGTTTATCGCCTTGAATAATTATTGTTTCTCCTTGGGACCTTCTACAATGGTAAATTTACACTATACAAACGTAGTCAAAGAAAATTCTATTTGATTCTATCCCGTACCCTACGGCACATATTATTTTGACACTAATAATACTTTACTCACGACACGATTTTTTTTTATTGACAGTAATGGAGAAAATAGTGAAAGGTGCAATCGTCAATGGCGAATAGTAAAACACAACGGTGACCTACCCCATATCCAGCCATGGGTCCGATTCCGTGTCCTAGATACGGATCCGCGTAGTCCCTGCCATATCCCGCCGCTACGGCTGCGTATCCCGCGACTGGCTGCGCAGCTGCTGCCCCGTAACGCGCAGCTACCGCCGTATACGTGGCCGCGGCTGCGTAACTGGCCTGTTGAGCAGTCGACAATGGCGTTTTAAGTAAAGGCGACGCTGCTGCTGCGGCAGCCTAAAACAGATAGAGCCATGCACAGCCATGCACATCTAAAGCGGACTAAAGATATACATTGAGGCTGTGCGGTTTATACGGCGCATGGTTGTGTAGTAATCATGAAGTGCACCCGATTTTAAGACGCCTATTTAAATTAAACAGGGATCGTTTGCCTTAAAAAAAAACATTTTTATTGAACGCAGTTTCTATAGATTACGTTGTTTGGATAATATATAAATAGAAGGTGTCCAAAAAGTATGGAAACGGTGGAATAACTGTTTCATGGTAATAAAAATAAGTTCCCGCCCAACATACGTGATTTCGATTCTATGCCGCCAAATCGTGGATGGGGTTTTATCCAAGGTTTTTATCTTGGATTCACGCTAGATGGCGCTCTAATCGCAAAAACCATTTACCGATCAATATTATGAATCCAACTTTAGGGAACCTGAAGTAGAAATGGCAATTTCCACTTAACGTTGTATAGTTTCAACAGTGTTTTTATTCAATATTTGAAAGTATTTTTTCTTTTTTGAACATTTGTGTAATTCTGCCGATATTCCAACTTTTTGGATACTTGGTTACGGATAAAGTGTTAGCTAGGCCAGTTTAGAGAATAACTGAATTGTTTTATTTTTGATAGAAAATATTGTTTTATCTAAAATAGCTACGAGTATTGGTTGGTTCGTAGACTACCCAACTAGTTAATAAACTATAGACTTTAGCGTCAAAGTGCAAACCAGAAGAAAAAATATATAAAACTAACTCGTATGGTTATTATTTAAACTAACCAACGCTGCTTGGTTAATTCAGTTCAGGATAGTAAAATATCATTGGTCAAAATTACAATTTATTTATAGGTGCAACATGACGTTGCTAGTACTACTTAAATATATGTAAAAAAAACACACACCAAAGGCAAAATTATTTTTGAATGTAATATTGCACAAGATTCTCTATAAATCATATGCATTCATCCACATTCACGTATTCACCTCACTTGACAAATGTTAATGTTAAATATAACCTCACTCTTCTCATAACTCAACCTAAGTTAATTGGTTAGTTTAGCCCCTAACCAAAGACTTTGCAAAGTAGCCAAAAACGTCGTTTAATTTGTGTTGGGATTATAAACTTGCTGATGGTATATAACTAACCAGACATTTGTTTTTTTTTGTATACTATACAGCTGGCTTAGGAACTAACCAAGTTAATACTTTAACGGTAACATATGCAGGTGGAATCAAATGAAATTGAGTATAAGGCTGATGGACATGCACTAACTTTCTAACATTTAGACCTTAAAAAAGTATATGGATATTTAAATACCGTGAAGGGAGAGCTAACATTTTTTCAATCTGCCGATACACCAAATGGGCGAAAAGAATGTAAAACAAATATTTACATACGAGAAATAGTCGGTATGACGCGTCTGGGAAATTATGGGGTCAAACACCACAGGGTTAAGAGGTGAAAAACACAGTAGAAGTGCGTTTCATCGGCGCTTTTTAGTATAAAGCGTTATTACCGGAAGAAATGAATCGCAATTTCTTGGTCTTGTTCCAAGCAATGGATAAGGTGATTAATGCGATGTTAGAAATTAAGAGTGCCGGCATGCCTCAATGGGAAAGCGAGATTGAAATGTTGATTTTTTAAAATGTCATTTTCTCTCATTTGTTTCTAAAAAAATTTTAAAAATTCTGCTTTATGAGTGTGGTATGAGATCTGTTCAATAAAATAAGTAGTTGAATTGTGCTCATTTACATAAAATTTTCATAAATAAGGGAATTGGTGCTTTCTTTTCCAGGTACATCCTCGAGTATATAAAGCCAAATCGAATTGGATACATATTTTTTTAAATTAAAAACATTTTTGTTTAAGTTTTACCTATATACAGAGTGTTTAAAGAAAATTCAGTTTTATACCAAATGTTTTTCACATTCCGTTGGAATTTCTGTCAATACTATTAGAAGTCTTTTTAAGACTCATCTTTTCGCAGCATCCATTTGTTTATTCACGTCTTTATCTCCGTTATTAAATGAAATACGAAATTTAACCTATTAGAATATTTATTAGGTCAAAGGGTTAGGCACATCGTCGACACCCACCTGCCTCCTTGAATAATGTATAGGAAGCAGGGAAATTGATAGAGCAATGATCAAACGTCTGTGTGTGATGTGGTTGTAAAAAGTAGGTGAGGAAATTGACTTTTTATTTGTTTGATAAATCCCGTATTTCATTTAATAAGCGAGTTACAGAACTGAATAAACAACATGTCCAGAAAAGATGGTGTTGTGGTTTGAAAGAATAATTTCTCTATATGAGTAACATAACTAAGCAGTTTAAATCATACCGTTCTAGTTAGCGTTGATTGCTGATTGCTGTTCTTCAAAACCCATCACACACCTACGCACTGAGTTAGAAAGACACCTAATAGTGCAGCAAGGAACCCCAACAGATTGACTATAAGACTGGTTTTAAGTCAAATCGATTCAGCAGCTCGCGAGAAAATTCGAAGTTGTTGAATTGGAGTTGTCCATTAAAATTTTGATACGAAGTGTAGTATAAAAACATATTTTTTATATATCATAAATTATATTTATCAAAATTACTTTCCGAGTTTAAGAATTCGCAACGTACCGCCTCAAAATGGTGCAATGTAAAAGGAAACTCAGTTGTTGAGATATCCGCTGAAAACGCTATACCCTGTTTCTTAATGCGAGAGAATTAAAAATCACCTTTGAACTGTAAAACTTAAGGATCTTTGCTGTATTCCATAGGCGTGATATTATAGCTATGACGAATGTCATTCGAAGCTCTTCGTCACCCAAACTCAACATAGTTAAAATATGTATTGCCAATCAAGAATATACCCACCAGGTCACCAAAGAGAAATAGAGCTACATGCTACTATATATACCAAAAAATAACAATAAGACCTTAATTAATGTTGTTGTGAGAATCTAAGTTCAATAAAGGAGAGGTATTTAAATTTAATTGGTCGTTAAGCAATACATTTGAATGTTTCATTTGGTTAATCTCCATGGCTTCCCATAAATTCAATTTTCTACTTTTTGTTTCTGTATTAAACAACTGTCTTGTGAAAATATATAATTTCGTGAAAATCTGATGTTTCAGTTTTTATTTTTTATTTTTATTACCCTTTCCCGCATTAAGAAACATGGTACAGTTCTGAAACGTCGAACGACCCATTCGTTGTTATAAATTTATACCTGCAATCTGGTATAGTTCGGGTCCGTAGCTGCCGCGTGAGCCGCCAAGAACGGGTCGTAATAAACTCCGCCATCTACCGGCAGAGTGTTGAGTACCGGAGCGTATCCGTGTAGGGCGCCGGCCAGGGGCGTCGGATGTCTCGCGAAGGCTGCCGCTGCGGCCGCCGCCGCCGCGGGATAAGCCGCCCTCGCTCTGCCCCTTTGAATGGCTGCCACGCCCGCCCTAAGGGTCGCCGCGTCCGCTGGCCACTGAATCACCGGTACTGGAAGAAAGCAAGGGAGTTACGATTTATATTCGAGGTCAAAACATAAGGGCACGTCAACTAACCTGCCGGAAGAGCTGGAGGTTTCTTGGTTTGTACCCTTGCGGTGGCGTTGTTAACCTAAGCCAAAGTGAGGGAAATTAAGAAACGACCCTCTACAATCTAATATAACCACTTGTTTCGATTTTCGCGTTTCGAAACGGACGCGTCGATTGGCTGGGGCATAAACAAGTGCTTATATTAGACAGCTGGACATACGCCCAGTTATTTGTTGACAAACATCGTGCCCATAATCGGGAAAAAAATAAACACGCTCGGGTGAGTTTTATTAGTTTAAAGCTAATTCGGCGTCTTCGTTTCGTTATTTCTGCCCCGACTTTGGTTTACATATTCGGCGGAATATACTAAACGTCGATGACATTTTCTAACCGCTTTTAAAATGGCGATCAGTGGAACAAGTAACAAGAGAAAAGTCGCGAATGCTCGGTGTTAGAAAAGGTCACGACTATGAAACAGTATAAAGAGAAATTGTATTGCCACAGACGTTACGCTTCGTTTGCATATAAGTTCTTAGTTCGTAAATATATAAAACAACAATAACAAAAACAATTCTGACTAATCGTTTTCTTTTTCAAATAATAGTTATTACGACAAAACCAAAATTCGTACTCACAACGCAAGACAGTTTCTCTTTAGAATTTCATTAAATGGCAATGATTCAGAGTGTTCGGTTCTAAACGGTTTCTAGGCAATAAAAAGGGTTTTTTAAAATCTATTTTTGATATTTTTATCAGTAAACATACCCTTCGTTGAAAAATCATAGCAATGCCTTTTATTCTGTCTTTTGCGGCTCATATATAAACTTTAGTAAAGTATAGTAAAGTATAAAAATTCGCCGTATCAATGACTAAAATATAGATGATAAAAAAATTAAAATTAAATCAAAGCGCATTATTTAATTCAATATTGTTTATTTTACAATAAAACTTTCGCAGGTTGTAACTTGTAGGAACACCTCTTATGAATTTCCCCTGAGTAAGGTATCGACCTTCTGTCGTAGACGTTTCGGTTTTTCGAGTCTGTGCGCAGTACTGACGCGCATCGGTTGTGAATAACGTCATTATGAGTGATGGGATGAGATTTTATTAAAATTTATACGGAGAAACCGCAAACTCGATTAGTTCAATGGTCTTATTATGGCAATGGTGTCGTAATTAAAGTATAACCGATAATTAAAGATTTTCCCACATAATTCCAATCCCAAAAAATTTTGGAGTAAGGATGGTGCTACCATAAATTTTGGTGAATGAAATTAACTACCAAATAACATAAAGACTAATTTTCAAAAGTAATATAACTATCGTTACACATATCTTTCGTCGTACTTTAATCCCTCCCTCTTTTGATATATTTAACTTTTCCTGTAAGAACTGAAATTTACGAATAAACGTATATTCAGTCTATGCCTCCACTTTTTTTGCGCACTAAATTTTTAACAACACTATTACGAAAAATAAGTTAAAAATTGGTTTGTATGTTCACCCGCACCTTCACCAGTTCATTCGAAGAGGGTTCCTTCCAAATATATACCTATATCGAATTTGAAGAATGTCTTCATACCCGTCGCTAGGTAGTTATTTTTATTGACTGACGCAGTATTACATTACCACGGTATCATAAATGCTTAAACAGATTCCGTACTCGAACCAAATTAAATTATTTCGAAAAACTCTATTAAGCTCTAGAGGGAGATGGCTCACTGATTCCCTCTCCTCTTCATTGTTATGAAACTAATACGGGTTTTATTGCTCACAAACGCAAAGAGAGATGTCGGTTTAATTGTATTACAGTGTTTCATGATTGATATAGACTCTAGAATTTCTCTTGGACGGACTGATCTTCGTGTTGCCAATACCTGACGCAGAAGAAATCCAGAAGACGCGTAACCTGCAAGATCTAATTTAATAATTGAAAAAGAAAAAGATTTTGAACCATTGCCATCGTTTATCGTACACCTAAAGTTACAATAGCGAAATGGTAACACACTGGGTTGGCGTGAGGCGACACGGGCGCCCTCTCCCGGCTCAAAGGGCGTCCGCGTCGCCTCCCTGGCCTTATCCACTTACCTCCACGGCGGCCCGTGTGCGGGAGGGAGGGGTATCGGAACTACAACTGTCGCGTCATCATTGCGAGCCAATTATATGGCCGACACGGTCTAGAGACAATGTACAGAGATAGGAGAACGCAAAAAACCGATAAAAATGCGACTTATCAAGATTTCTGATTCGTTAACTGACTGATTCGAATATTGGATACGACGCGCGCCCTGGCGAAATTTCGCTTTGTCCGGGGGGACCTCCGAAGCGTCGGGTACCGCTAAATATATCGTTGATCGCGCGACGCGGCAAGATGGCGACGTCGCACGTGGCGACACAAATAAAACTGTCCCTCGGACAGCGTCATCTCGCCGCGCCACCTCGCAGACATATTCGGAACTAACCGGCGCGCCGAACTCCCCCCGGAAAGCCGCTTCGACGCCGTACGTCACAGACTTGGTTTCTTTTGGTAGTGTGTGCGGCAAAAGAACGTCAAAACAACACGTGTGAAGCGGGGAGGTGCTACCGGTTAGTCACTAAAGCCAGCAAGCCAGCCACACGGGGGTTTTGACCTTGTTTTACCGGGGAGGGACGGGACAGGCCAGTGCTACACGTAGAGCTATTAAGTCATGCACACCTCTATTTTTCTTCCCTCAACCACGGTGCCGTGTAGTCGGTCTCGTGCCCGCTCCGCATCAGCACTATTTGCGAATGTTACAAAACCGAACCCCTGCATGCAGAGACAGACAAGACATGCATTATAAACAGCTCTTCAAACTCGTGCAATGACATGATGACGTTAGACATTAGACATGCCTCTGTCTAGAAGCCTCATTCCACACTCTCGCTCTTTTCATTTTTTTTTTATCTTTCTTTTGAAATCGATCGAGGCAGACTACGTCACTGTTAGACTTTGAAGACCAGTAACGTAATCGGCATCTTAAATCGAGTCAATAACTCACATATCAGACTTCTAGCGGCTTTCTCGTCAAATTACAACAAAAAAAAATACTTCTCGTAATAACGACAGAGTGGATACCATCAACCACAAACTGAAAACCTATTCTAAACAGAACAGACAAGTGACACTATCTAACCAATAAAATAAAAAATAGAGACTATACAGAGCTGTTAAATCAATCGCGTACATTTTTTTTTAAACAAAACAATCCGTTTCGATAATTCGTCAAGAAGACGCCTGGCAACTTTAAAGTACTAATTTAGTCATTGCATTTGAAAATTGGTTAGTCGAAACGTCGCTATTAACAAGGCACGATTTAAAGAACAAATTTCATAACACTAAACCGTAGTTCGTTTTAGACTAATGTGTTCAGCAAGGAAAACCTATCCTGGTTTTAAACGGGCTGAGATGGATGCACATATCACGTGACGTTACACTTAACAAACTCATCATGTAATTTGGGATTAAGAAAAAAAGTACTCTCAATTAATTATTTTTTATGGTGGTGAAGTTTTGGAAAGGAAAAAGTGTATATACACTGTTCATCGTTGTTTTCTTTATGAATTATAAACATTATTCCGGTCAAACAATCCAATTTATAATTTATCTACAAAAAAAAAAACGATTTTTACAAATTACATCCTGTATAATAATTCCTCAACGCTAGACTTCTTAATTACTTATTAACATAAAACTGATCTGATCTGGCACACTTTTAAATTTCGTCGCCATTATACATTGGCGTACCACTTTTCATTTACTTAGAAGAAGGTTCAGATATGCACCCCAATATTTCAGAAAACAGTTTTTATAGGCTTAGGATTATAACGATGATTTGATTTTGTTTGGCGTTCCCGAAATATTAATACCTCGTAAAATCTGATATCACCTAATATCAATAAATATAGGAAAATCCGTTTTAAAACGATATCCACGTTTTGGCCTCCCGCGATGATAAAAGAATTGATGTATTGGGAACAGAAGAACCTAACCTAAAAATGTAAACGTAAAATCCTTCCCAAAAACAACGCAACCGCAACGACAGTGATAATAATAAAAAAGAAATAACGAGACAATTAGAGCGAAAATAATTTTTCTATCAAATATTTCCCGAAACAAGTAAATTTATGGAAAAAGTTGTCATTTTCTTTGAAAATTTCCAATATGTGCGCCACAAAAGACAAGAAACAAGATAATGAAAACAATTCGACTTGAAATTTAGATACGGATATACCACTAGATCGAACAGGCTAGTTTTTATTATCTCTACATAGAAATTTACTAGCAACATCAAAACGTCGGTAAAAGAGACAACTGTAAGATCTCTCAATGACACAAGGCGGAGAGAGAAAGAGATAGACGTTTACATGCCAGGTGCACACATAGATACGCACATCAAGCATATAATAGGCTTTTCAGGTTATACAGTTAATGTTGGGTTAAAATTTTCATGAGTCCGTTTTTCGTAAACTGTTACGGTGAACCGGATAGTACTGAGTTAGGTTATGAAGTAAAAAAAAAAACTACTGGTGAATTTATTAGGGTGTAACTTTTTAGCGAGTGGAGATTAAACAAAAGCTTTTAAATCTAATTCTAGGAGCACACATCCCAAGCCACCGTTTAAAACCACACAAAACAAAAATAAAATAGTAACAACCAAAAAAAAAAAGTAAATCCACAAGGCAAAAAGAAACTAACAGATCGAGTTTCGCACCTTAAATGGTAGCCAGACACTATAGGCGGAAAGATGAAAAACAATTGTCCGTTAAGAGAGAATGTACAACATTAAATCTAAACTAAGTAACATAGTCTAGCGAATTGTGACATTTGGAGACGTTGAAATAGTACGCTACCGAATGATCGTTCGTATATATAGGTATGTGTCTGGCCCAGTGCATCAAAACGGATATATGAAGTTGAATGGAACATGTCATCGAAAAAATAAAAGACGAAATTTTCAGCCGCTACAGCACAATCATTATGTATAAAAATTAAAACCAAATCACAGTACGCCATCATATGTCATGTTTAGTACAATAAAAAATTGTCAAATTGCACAATAATATAAACCGTATGTATTCAAATAATAACGAATGGGGGTGACCTCAAAGCATATTGCCGTCTGCCTTCGGTTGCCATTTTTTCCGCAAATTATTATCGGTTTCGTTGTACAGGGTGTCCGAAGTAATATTTCTCTCCGCTTAACTGAGAGATTACAAACTTTGGATTTTTTTTAAACTCTTTATATACTATCACAAATGACGATTACAGGACCCAAAATAATAAAACAATTGTTAAATTTTAAAATTATAATTTTTTCCGACTTTGCATTAAAATTTCAAGAACAAAAACTTAACAACAGAAAAATTCTAAATTGTTTAGGAAACTATAAATTTCCGGAATAGACAACCTTATAAAAAAATACCTAAATTTTTTATGCCAAATCGGATAAAATTTAAAAAATTGAGGGTTTCATTTGAAAAAAAAAGACTTTTAGAGTTTTTTATATTCCATTTTTGCTTACCCTGTATTAATTGGCATTTAAAAATGTCTGAATACGATAATAGGAGCCCCCTTTCACACGGAAACGATCAAAAATTAAATAATTAAGACTTCATTGTGGTTCAAATTGTTACGGCTAAGTTTTGGGACCTGCAAATGTCATTTTTGACATAACATTAAAAATATGTCGACTACGTTTAGACGTAAGCATAAAATATTATATATGAAAAAATCCAAAATTGCAACAAAATACAGGGCGCGCTTTATTTTTTAAATAATAATAAAGCTGGACGCAACACCCTGTACATTATGTGAAATATAAAATCTAGATAAAACAATGCAACTATTTCACCTTTATTTCGAACATCCAGTACAGGGTAAAAAATAAATTTAATTCTTTTATTTATTGTTTCAAAGAAAACCACACTTGCACTATACAGTATGGTAATTTAATTTAATTAAAATGCTACTTTGAATGCATCTTAAATGCACCTAACATAATTTTGGCAATATTTGTATTTTAGTTGTGCGGTTAGTTAATAAAAATGACCGCACTGTATACATTTTACAATGACTTAATATTAAATAAAAATATTATTTATCATTTTTTAAATCTACATTTTTGAGATGTTTTTTTTGCTAAAAATGCCACAAAATGTTTGACAAATTGTGAAAAAAATAGACCTACGATGTTGTAAGCTAATAGGCGAGGACAGTTTATCATCTTCGATGTTCAAAATTTCTGCTGCTTTTGCAGTAAAAAAACACGAATTTAAATGAAACAAAATATCGGAAAAGCACAAGACAAAACCAATAGACATTCCCAAAAACTACCGATAACAGCGGCGGCTCTACGTTGAGGCTCCCAAATCGAAAATATAATATGAATTCATGCATCGGATAATTACATTTCGTATAAAATAGTAAAACGAGTGTGGAGAGGAGCCTACGTCGCTTTGCTGCTATTAAATCTAGCACGTCATCGAAAATCTACACGGTGTTATTCACAAAAAGCCCATAGACGCGAAAAGTGCCTCGAATATTAATAAAAAAAAAAGAAAACTAACCGCTGTGCTCGTTACAAAAGTCATTTCCAAAAAACACTGAACGGCTTCAAGTAGTATAAAGGGCCATTCACGTTGAGTGGCCTATTAAAAGTTCTTGGGAACTAAATAGGTTTTTCTTTTTCAAATTCTATGGACGTAATACGCACAATACGAAATATTTACGCACTTTGCTGCGTTGCCGCTTCAACGCGAAACAGACGACAACGTTGGAAATTCAAATGAACACCTGTTTCTTAATTAAAGCTTATGTCCTAACCTAACTATTTCAAAATTTTTGACAGGATGTCCCAAAAATTTACATTTCAAAAACAGAAAACCTCGTTTGTTATAAATGAGAAATTACGTATTTGACATTATTAACTTAACCAAATATTTCCAAACAAACAATCAACACCGCTGTCAATTATTTCAGTTCTCAATGCTACTAAATGTGTTAAATGTTTTTTGTTGAAATAAAATGAAATACTGTTGAATACAATTCGTTGCTCTACATTTGTGCGATAGTGTGCGTAAAAAAGTTTTTACTGTTACTAGAACAGTAAAACAATTTCTAATGTTGTCGTTTGATTCGAGTTGAATTGGCAACGCCGCAAGCGCGTAACTATTTTAAAACTATAGATCAAGGCGCACCGTGACCATACACCGAATTTGAAACAAAAACAAACTATTTAACCTTCCGGAATTCCTAATCGGACAATCAACGTGAATCACCTTTTACATATCAAATTACCATGCATGTTAACAGCTATTGTTCTGTTCAAAATCGTATTAACTTTCGCTAGACCAAAATCATATCTTTAGCTACATACTGTTGCGATTTATTTAGAGATGGTTTCCGAATTTTTAAATGCCCAGGTAACACCTAAAACTAAAAGAAAACATTCTTCAGGTTTTCTCGGAACAAGATATCCGTTCGTGAACAAGAAAAAATCTAAAAAAGCACACAAATAAGCTGTGGTTTAAGTCTCGATTGATGCAAAGTATCACAGTTTCTCGAAAAGCCATGCCAAACTACGGACTATTTTATTCGATAACAATACAGTTTCGGCAGATGATCGCTAGATGTCGCCGCCAATGCGGAACACTACCGTTAGCGGTGATACTAACGAATCAATTTGTCACTTTGATGGAGAAATTTTTTGGTGTGCCAACTTTTCCGCTGGAAATACAATACCACGCACAATCTTACTCTATAGGCTTTAAACTGAATAATACCATAGACTCGATTAAAAATATTCCGCTGGTTTATAAATAAAAATCCCCTAGCGTGACCTAAAACCTAAATTGATTGTATTTTTCAAAAATAAATAGATACTGACGTTTATTTTCCTTAAATTCTCGAGAAAGAACACTGACGACAAGAACAAACCAAAAAATTTAATAGCAACATAGCCGGGCCGAATTTCGTCATTTTTGAGAACAATTTTTAATTTTACCGAAATAAAAGTGAACATACCTTCGATCCTCGTTCGTTAAATATAATTTCGACGTCTAATATCGGACCGAATTGCTGCAAAAAAGATATGGTATTAACCGAATCTAGACGAGCTATAGCGGGAGACTTACGCCAAACATAGCTCTCAAATCTGGATCTCTAAACCTAAATGGAATGTTCGAGACGTGCAGCCTTTTCGGTTGGTTCGTGAGTTCGGTAGCTGCCTGTGATGTCGGGACCTGCTTGGTACTGTCCGATGCCTCTGAGGTAGGCGGTTGTGCTGTGGTTCCATTTTGTTCAGTCTCCTAAAAACCATTATGATAGAAAACGTGAACAGCTTGGACGCTGCACAGAGGCCAACTTAACCAAACTTGTTGACAAAGGATACTTTGCAAAAGGTACGGTTTGATATCAAAATATTACACGGACTTCAAAGGTTTTGATAATAATATATCTCTTTTTTGTTTATTTAGGTGGGTATAATATTATTAAATTACACTTCGAAAAAACAATTACATTAAACATGTACAATAAGTTAACAGCTAGGAGAATATCTATATGTAATTAAATTTTGTCAGGGTCGGCATTGTGTGGTTTTGTACAGAAATGTAATGGTTCATAATTTTTATAATGTGCTGTACTGAATCTTTCCAGCTTTCGATTGCTATGTCACTAATTACATTTTTTAATAAATAAATATCATTTTCTGACAAATATCCCTCGATTTCAGTTTTGAACTTGATGAGGCTGTTGCTTTGCGTAGCACACTGTTATCGGGAATATTTTTTGAAAAATTGTTTTGAAACCAATTTTCCAAAAGTTCGGCACTTGTATCCTCATGACAATCCGTCTTCTGACCCAGGGTGTGTTTTGGTGATGTGTTTTCCTTTATTTGAAGGTGCTCTTGTCTGACAGTTTCGAGTGAAATCAACTCATCCTTTGGGTACAGTGTTGTGGATATTGAACTGTTTCATCAAGGTAAATTATGGATCCATTGGAATTCCATTACTACATGCCTTTTGTCTATTTTGGGGTACCTAAATCTCATTGTATAAACAACTCTACTGGGAAACGCAGAAAGTACTTTAGTAGGAATAAATTTTTTGTTAACGGCTTTACCCAATAACAATAAGTAAGTCCGTCGAAAGCCAACAAGATGAAGACTGAGACAGACTATATGTGAATTATATTTGACTTAGACAACAACCGAACAACCGAATATTTTCAGAAAAATGTATATACAGAAAACTTTGGAAAAAAAATTGTTTTGAGCACTGTCAAATACGGTACGTTTTTTTTAAAAATTGTGAGTAAGTGTAAAAAATGAATTCCAATTTGAATTTTTGAATTTAGAAATTTCTTTTGATCAGAAATTTTGCCTTGCTTTGTTGCGATTTTTTCAGACAAAAAGTGTTTTAATGGCTTTATGGCTGTAGGAAAATATGTTTATGTAAAATCTTATAAAATATATATATCAAGAAAAAAGTGAAATAAAATTGTTTATAAAAAAAATCACAACCTAGTTCAACACTACTAGAACTGGCTTTGCTTATCTACTAACAAACATCTCGAGACTATTTTGGAAAATCTTTCAAAATCATGTTTACCTACACCCTCAGTAAGCACTTCGTGCCACCCCTGAATATACCGATTGATTAATCACTGCAAACTTTCTCCTAGTGTTACGAATAATCACGAATTATACCTACAGAAAGTTTAATAAACTTTCTTGACAACTTGGTCCCGCGTAGTTTAATGAACCGTAAAACTTCAAACAAATGAAAACTGTTCTTTTTGTAGGAGTTCGAATAAGACGTCCGTAATTTAAAATTTTTGAACGAGTTTTGCCTAGAGCGTCAAGATGCAGGTTTCAAATTGGGGTAGTTGACCTGTCCTTCACTGCAATCCAAATTTTACTTATTTCTTTACTATTTATTTCTTCGTAGATATTTTTAAAGATTTAATCAATTGCTGAAGAGAGCAGGAACATAAAGTTAGGTGCCATGTTACAGCACCACTGGGAAAATGTATAAAGTAGCCCCTAAGGGGTGCCTTGGTAGTTAAGCCGGTGATTTCATTTATTTATTTTTTCCGAAATTGTTGTCTTACATGCGCGGTGTTACCAGGTCGGTGTGAATATCACTTTTTTCAGTTTCCCCTAATGAATTAAAATATTTGTCTTCCTTACCTGTGTCAAAGAATCGCATTTATATTGCTGCTGCGTGTGGTTCTGCTGCTGCTGTGCTAGAGCTACCGCAGCAGCGGCCGCCGCCGCGACGGGACTTCCCACCAGCCCGGCGGGCTGGTCCGGTCCTGCTGCCCCTTGCGGGGGCGGACTGAACGGGGGACCCGCTCCGGTAGATGCCGCTCCGGCGGGCGGCGGTAAAAGCGGCACCGACTTATCCTCAACCCCCTTGACCTCCCCGTTCTGGGCCGGAAACGCCGCAGCCGCTGGAGCGGCAGCCGCCGCCCCAAACGGTGCCGTCATACCCGTCTGGACCATGTGCTAGAAAAGGTAAGGAAAATGTTACGAAGAAACAACAGAAATACATAATCTACGTATACGGTCGAAACCTTGTACAACTCCCTAGTAAGAAGTATATACTTGAGTATGCTTCGTTGGTCTGGTCCACCCTATAATAAAAATATTCAGAAGAAATTTTTACGCCTTTTTGGGAGGTGAAAACATTCCCATATCGGGACACTCAGTAAAGGCCAAAGCTCAAGAAATAGCCGAAAAACTGAATGTGCGAAATTTTAAAGGATGGCTGGAAAAGTGGCGCAAGAGACATGCGATAAGTTTTAAGCGTATCTCCAAAGAATCAGCAGATTTGAGTCAAAAAGAGGTAAATCAGTTTAAAGATAAGTTGCCCACACTACTCTTCGGATATCAGTCACACGATGTTTACAATGGTCTTTTCTTTCGAGTCTTATCTAACAAAACACTTGCTTTAAAATCCGAAAAATGTAGTGATGAAAAATTTTATTTTGTGCTGATATGGTGGGACAATAACATATGGCATTTAAAAATTCACCGGCAATATGGAAATTTAACAAGAAAGCGTAGGTGACACGAGACATTATGAATGAATGGTTGTTAGCATTTGATAGAAAAATGGCGCTACAAAAGCGAAAGATTTTATTATTCTCGGATAACGCAGCATCGCTTCCCCGTGAAGTAAAATTACAAAACCTAAAAATTATCTTGCTCCAAATACGACATCAGTATGTCAACCTGTAAATCATCATTAAGATTAAAACTTTTAATATGATAGATGTAAATTGTAGTTTTTATTTGTATATTTTTTTCGTTATTTGCTCTTCCATATTCTTATATATATATATATATATATATATATATATATATATATATATATATATATATATATATATATATATATATATATATATATATATATATATATATATATATATATATATATATATATATATATATATATATATATATATATATATATATATATATATATATATATATATATATATATATATATATATATATATATATATATATATATATATATATATATATATATATATATATATATATATATATATATATATATATATATATATATATATATATATGAAGATATATATGAAGATGCCAAGTGAGATTTTGGCGAAACGTCTGCAGGATTCCAGTCGGATGCAGGATTTGCAGGATTCCAGTCGGATGCAGGATTCCAGTCGGAGTTCAACGAGCGAACGGATGATATCCCGGAATATAGTGTCATCATATTTTTCCATCCGTGAATCAATACGTGAGAATATATATATATATATATATATATATATATATATATATATATATATATATATATATATATTATTTATTAAGTTATTTTTTGTTTCAAAGTTCACAGAAAACAAACAAAACTCATGTGTCAATTTACGACATCCAATAATCAACTGGATAAAGATTGTCTCATCATAACGTAACTGCACAATCGCTCGGACTGGACTTCAGTTCGATTTACAAAATATTTTAGCATAATTTCCAATTTTTTAAATATAGTCGACGCTCGTACCCATTTCGTATTTGTTGAAAATGTTTCTAAGTTATTTGAATTTGTAAATCACTACTATTTGTAAGTGTTTATTTCATTTTAATTGTGCTATCCTAAAGTATTTTATTTATTTATTTTTTTTTATTTTTCTTTTATTTTATTTGAAAAAATCGAGTAAAAACCGCGAGAACTTTTTTATTGGCTTCCAGTGAGATTTGAAGTTGCGAAGTGTGTTTTAATTGTATTAATACAAACAAGACTAATAATACTATTCACACATAGAACGCTTTCAACTTAAGAACAACAACAAACTCATACATGAGAGTTTGTTAAACTTTAGTAGCCAATAAACATAAAGGATTTTCAGTTAGACAACAGAAAATATTTCGAATTCAATGGAGATCATTGGTTCTAAGATATGAAAATTACTCAATAATGATAAAAAAACGATATCCACGATAATTTGTATTTTTCTTCCCGACAAATCAAAAAATTTAATAAATGTAAATAGTTAGTAATGTAAACACAATGAAAACAACAATTCTCCAACTATGTAACCAAAAATATATCAACAAATTTACGGTTTTTCATTTTTTTACGCATTTTATCGAACTGCCATGCGGAATTTAAATGAGTGACTTCGCCTTGAATACATCTGAATACAACTATTCAAATAAAAATTAATGACGTCACAGAAGCCGTAGTCTTGACCAAGGCACACCGCGACCTTCTTCATGTTTTCAACATGGTTAAGGTCAAATTTTCTGAGATTATTGTGCTGTGTTTTTGGCAACTAAATGGGTATTTATTTATTTGCGCCTACATTTTTGGTTCATTAAAATAAAAATAAATGATAATATTGTATTTGTAAGAATCCAGAGAATCCAGACTAAGGCATGACGTACCAAAAGCAATCAAGGGTTCATTTATTTTCCTTAAAACCCATTAAATTCGTTAACTTAAGATTAAATCTTTTGTAATTAGAGGAAGGCAAAAGATGCCTTCCTCACGATTATTTACTATTTGTCATTTGAAGTATAAACCATCCAAAAGGATAAAACGTAGATTTACATTATTCTCCGATCTGCTGGATCACCACCAGGTCATATCCCGGATGCATAAGTGAGATTAATGTCGATCCAAACAATTCAAATTATTGATTAAAGAGATCGTAAAATTCCGTTAAATTTAGACGCCAACACTTTGGCGAAACGAAGTTCCTGGCAAGTCGCCAACCATCACAATTCGTCAGCGCCGAACAACACGCGAGTATATTCAACAGATCAATTTTACTATTTTTGGCATAAACCTTTTAGATTCCGCCTTTTGTCGGATGTTATAAAGGAGTTTCTAATTGGGTTTTGTGCATCGTTATCCCATATTCACGCTGGTGTCCAGGCTGGATGGAAAAAACCTAAACAACTGCCGTTTTAAATACGTTTTTGCTAGTTCCTGATCTGCGGAACTAGTCGGTACACTTCCGCGCATCACACACCCAACACAAAAACATGAGTTTCACATTCGAATTGGAAAACAACAACACCCTTTGCTTTCCAGTCATTCGTGTCAGTCAAAAACCAGACTTGACCCATTCCATCTATAGATTCTTCAATCAATGAAATTAACAAATATCAATTCCGTTCTTCTCTCCAATAATTTCCATTATAACAAGATATCACATCCATTAGAAAATGCACTTCTCATCACAACCACTTGCATAAAAAAAACTCTAAATTGACACTCCGTTTGTCACTATGGTGCTTCCGCCTGTTCAAAATGTGAGATCTTCTGAAAAAATATAACATCCAGTCTCTTATATTTCTTTTACCTATCAATGCCAAGCCTTCCATATATACCTTTGCCCTTGATGGCAGTGTTCTACTGTGTGTGCTGCGTTGGGTGTTCTACTAATGCGGCTCACTGATATTCTCCCATAGAACCGCATTTCAGATGCGTTTAGGTGTCCATGTTTCGCATCCACACAGAAGCAGGGTTTAGGTGGAACATTTTAGAGTTCAAAGCAGGAGATGGGAAGCTTGAGGTGGCAGAGGAGTTTTCCCAGCTTAGCCTACATAGCGAAGGACAAAATTCCTCCCAAGAGCAGCAAGGGATGAGTTAATAGTATACTGTGCAATTTCCTAGTAACATAAACCGAAGCACATGTTTCTACCTCCATTTCATTTGGGATTCGGGGAACCAATAAAACCCCTCCTCTCCCATTCGCCCATTCAAGAAGCATGCAGAGCATTCAGACCTCAGCCTCAGACCGCGCTCTTAAGAGTTTAATCTAAATTGCAATACGTTCGTATATATTACGGAGGTGTTTGAATGTGATCCTTCCGGTAAGTACGAGTTTATGCACCCAATTCTCGACCTTTGATCCTGCGAAGCTGTTTTCACTGGATAAATCAAAGCTTAAGGGTAAATACATCTACTCTATTCATCTTAGGGGTAAGTTTGAAAATAACCATTTTTGTGTTGTGCGCCTGACATTTAACAACATTTTTCTTCTATTTTTCAAATAAAGTAGAATGTTCTCTACGAAAATGATTTGAGAGAGTATTTTGTGTCTTCTACATAGTTCTTGGATTTTTAAACAACAGTCTTGGTTGTTTTTCAGACGGTACCAGGCGCCAAACATCAACAAAGAGCTCTATAAAAAGCGCCGGCGACATATTTCGTTAATTCCATCACCGCCGTTAGTTTAACCAAACAAAACAGTTTCGCCACGTTTTTTTTATTTTGCGCGCCATCAGTCGTCGACCGGTCGGCCAGTCTTTTTGTTTCGTGCTCTCGTGCGATCCAGAAATAGCTCCGATATCTTTTTATTTCACCGACGGTTACGTTTTGGCTCTGCTCTTCGCGCGACGAAGTCGCTTTGATCCCTTTTTTTTTGCCATTACTTCTGGTTTGCCTGTCGGGGGTATTTTTAGAGTCCATCTATGCTCCCACCGTTACCCACACTCTGCTTGTCCTAAAGCGAAAAAAAGGATGAGTCTATTTCAAAATGGCGTGGGGTAATAAAACCTCACCAGATATGTCAAAGGACTACAGAATGACCGAGCGAATACTTAAGCTACTTTCATACAGACAATTTTTTTAAAACAAACGGTCAATATTCGATATTTTGCTCCGCGTTAGAGACATTGGAAAAAGTTCTTCCGAATGTTACTCTACGCCATATACCAAATTTCATGACAAAAATTCGAATTTTTAGTTTTTTTTTAATATAATTATTACTTTGGTCAATACCTACACACAATAATTAAATCATCAGCTTAAATATTTGTAGCGATGAGAAGAGAATCTTTTGAAAATTTTGTTTTTAAATCAAAATAATGTTATCCATTTTATGTTAAATGATATTTGGAAAATAGAATTTAAAAATATTTGGCATTACAAAGTATATTTAATTAATCAGGCTAAATATTTCTAGGAGACTGACGCAAATATATTTTTAAAAAATTGTTCTCAA